GCACAGGAGAAATTTTCTTGAGATGGGGAAGGCAGAAAGGATGCAGCCACAACTCTCTGCAGATTGTTGTGGGGTGCCAGGCGGGCCCCCTTAGCTCATGCTGATCTAATGGCTTATCCTGTTGGCATGGAGCAGCACCTGGGCCTCCAGTTCCTTCAACTCCCACCCAGTCTCCTCCTTCAGATTCTCTGAGCTGCAAGCTTGCTGTGTGTGCAGTTCCATGGAGAAGGTGCCAGCTTTTGCAGGTCCCCTGCGTTGCCCAGTTTGGAGGTAATGAGAGACAGCCATGGGTTCCGGCCTGTGCTCATTGGTTCCAGTGTTTCCCACGCTTCCAGTTTGCGCTCCTTCCCCCACTTTCCTGGGTTCCTTCCTGATTATCAGAGCCGCTGGACTTCAGGTCCCCACCGGACGCAGAGGCAACAGCCTGCCATCGAGTCCACCAGCTTCCGCAGCTTTTCAGGGTGTAATCTTTATAACAAATCTTTATTTCTGAATCAAGCAGCAGCTCTGCTTTTCTGATCAAACCCTAGCTGATACATCTCTCTTCCCCAGGCCCTCAGGATACAGTATCTTTGATCACATGGCCACCCCAAAGAAATTTGTTCCTGGTGATTGGGCAAAGTCACCCTCAAAGCAGGATTGGTGAGCCTCTCATACCCTTTCTCCTTCCCTCCCCACAAGACTGGTGTTGTTTCTGGAGGCAAGAGCTAAATCAGATCTGACTTGTAATGAAACTCAGTGTAAGATGCCTCAGAGTTATTAAAGGCTGTACCTGCCCATGCAAACCTGAGCTGAACTCAGCTTTGCTGTCACTGCTTTTGGAGGCTGTGGGCTACCTCCACCCCTTTGTGGTTGCTCTCAAACATCACTGGTCTCCGGCTCCTGTGCACGGAGATGGGCTTGTGATTTGTCACAGTCAGACTGGAGGAAGGGGTTGCCTATAGTAAGTGCTATGATCCCACAGGCTCTGAAGACTGATGTCTTCATCCAGGTGTTTTAATGTCTGAAATTTCACCATTAGAGAGTCATTCCTTTGGATTCTTTTTCCTGATGTTTGTTATTAAAGTGACATTCACCTTTGTTAAAGGGATCATCAGCAGAGTGTAATAGAAAGAACATGGTTTCTGGAATCGTATATCTCTGAACTCAAATCCTATCTCTGCCATTTAGAATACCTGTGAGACTGCAATAAAATAATTATTTAACCTCTTCAAGCTATAGTTTCCCTGCCTCTTAAAATGGGAATAATCATAATATCCAGTTCAGGCTATGTCTTAGTCTGTTCAGGCTGCTATAACAAAAGTATCATAGACTGAGTGAGCAGCTTATAAATAACGGGAATTTATTCTCACAGTCCTGTAGGCTGGTGAGAATCTGCTTCCTGGTTCATAGACAGCCATCTTCTTGCTGTGTCCTCACATGGTGGAAGGTCTCTTTTTATAAGGGAACTATTCCCATTTATGACTCCACTTTCATGACCTAATCACCTCCCAGAGGCCCACCTCCTAATACCATCACATTGGAGATTATGAATTTTGGGGGAACACAAATATTCTATCCATAGCAGTATACAAGCAAACAAATGTGAAAGTACCTAGCACAATACCTGGCACATAGGTGAAACTGAGTAAATGTTAGCATTTACTCCTGATTTCCTTTTCTCAAAGTGAGTTATGCATTGGAATTCTTAAGTACTAGTGGGTACTGTGTCTGTGTCACCATTATTGCACTCCTATCACGGTTGGGATCTAGTGGGTGAGTGTTAATTATCTGCTATGAATATGTGTGTGTGTGTGTGTGTGTGTGTGTGTGTGTGTGTGTGTGTGTTTTAGAAAAGAGAAAGGTCACCAGAAGACCAGAAGATGAGATAAGTAAGTTTGGAAAGACTGGCTCATTTCCATCTACCTTTCTCCACTTCCACCGCCACCATTCCAATTCAAGTTGTCCTCTCTTTCGTGGATTATTTCAATAGTTTTACCTGGTTCTTTTGACTGTATTCTTATTTCTTTTTAGTGTATACTCTTCTTAGAAACCAGTGATCTTTTCAAAGTGCAAATCAGATTTTATTTAAATCCATTGATTCTTCAAATTCTACTTGGCATTTGATCTAAACCCTAATCTTGGCCTGGAAAGCACTCCACATCCTGGCTCCAGTCTATCCCTCCTCCCTCAACTTAATTTCCCTCTTCTCCCCACAACTCATTACACTTTAGCTATGCTAGAACTCTCTGAGAATTTTGGATCCGTGAACTCAAGGCCTTTGCCCATGCTTCTCTCCTCTCTCCTCCCGCCCTACCACTTCTCTCTCCACCCTGTCTCTCTCTCCCTCCCTCCCCCTGGCCCCAATCTTCTGTCTGACTCCTACCCAAGCTTCACATCTTTGTTCATATGTAATTTCCTCAAGGAAACTTTCCTTGTTTCCTGATGGAACAAAATCAGGCCCACTTCTTATCTTTCTCATAGGAGAGCTCTTCTATGCTTTTCTTCTTACAGTCTATGTCACATTTCAAAATTATGGAATCATGTGTGTAGTTCCTTTCCAAGTGTTGTCTCCTCTTACAGAGTGGGAATATGACAGTCTTGTTCCCTCTACTCTGTCACCAGCAGCTCGCCCACTGCCCCGCACACATAGGTCTCAGTGCCGCTTAATGATGAATGAATACAGAGTAATCCTGGGATAAATCTAACTGGATGGGATTCACATTTTCTCTCCCACAGGGTCATAGTTCTTGAGTTTGTGATCCCAGAGTCTTACAAAAGCCACCCAGATAACACAGATCCTGTTTGCCTCTGTATTTAATTTTTTGTTTGTTTCCCTTTTCATTTTAAATTGAGGCATAACAGAGTAAGCTGCACAAATGTTAAGGGCGCAGATGGTGAATTTTTCATTGTATACACCCGTGGAACCACCACCCCAATGAAGATTCAGAATGTCCCAGCATCTCGTAGGCTCCTTTGTACCCTTCTGGTTCCATGACCTCCTCTCCCACCCCCGCCCTGGGCAGGTTAATCACTCTTCTGACCTCCATCACCATAGATTAGTTTTGTCTGCTTCAAAATTTTATGTAAATGGAATCATACAGCTGGTATGTTTTTGTCTGGCTTCTTTTTTTCAACATGTTTTGGGATCCGATCATGTTACTGTGTGTAGCAGTATGTTTTTTAAAAAAAAGTTATTTGTTTAATTGTTGAGTAGTATTTCACTGAATATATATGTATGTATATATATATATATATATATATGTATATATACGTACATGTATATATTACAGTTTATCCATTCTACTATTGTCCGACATTCAGTTGTTTTCAACTTTAGACTGTTATGAATAAAGCTGCTGTGAACTTTCATGCACATGTGTTTTGGTGGACACGTCTTTGGGGATAGAATGAGGAGTGGAACTGGTGGGTTTCTATCTTTAAACCAGGATCTTTTGATCTGTGGTGTATCTTTCAAAAAATTCTGGCACATCTCAATCTGAATTTACAGCTGAGGTAAGTCAGGGGTGATTATCCACATAGCACTAAGCTTCTTATTCGTGGGGAATCCTTCCTATGGCTTTTTAGTAATGGCATTCAGGGGTTTGTGTCAATGTCATTTAACAATTTGATACTGAGCCTGTGGGATGATAGGTCCAAGCAACTTAAAATTATACTCTTAACATGACTCTGCCTATTGAAGCTTACTAAGGAACCATAATAAGTCATCTCAAAAATGGTCATCTGAGACAATAAGAAAATGTTATTCTCTATGTTTAAATCACTGAGCTACAGAAGCATTTCCAGGCCACATTTTTTCAATTACAATGGTCCTAAGACAGTTGCTTTGACTGTTCCTATAAAATGCTTTAGCTATTCCCAATATGTCATTTACTCTCTGATTTATACTAATGTCGATAGAATATTGATCATTTGCTATAACCCAGTTGTGGAAGATTTTCTGACATAACTGTGTACTGATTTTTTTCCTTTCTCCCGGAACACATAGGGTTAGTAGGCTGTGACCATTACACAACATCCACCAAATTCTGTGTGCCCTTTTCCCAAAAGATAAATTACACTGAAGGCAGAAAAATGCAATCCCTGAAGATTCTCTTGCCAAAAAACCTTCTTGTCTTTAAGGACCTTTGCTTGTTGTTTGATTTTCTACGGGAGAATTTGCAAACATTTTCCTTAGTGTCCTGTATGAGGTAAGAGAAGCTCAGAGTCTGCCCCAGGGGATGTAATAAGTGCAGTTAGACCATCTTCCCCATTGGAGGCAGTGGGCCAGTTACTCTCCTGGACCACAGAGAGGGCTATGACCTCCCTTTGTCTGCTTCTGAGAACTCAATAGGCTTATCAGCTTGGGGGGCTGGGACCACCCAGCTGGGGAAAAATAGAACTTTTACCAGAGAGATGGAACCATGTGGGAAATATCTGAATCATGCTTTGAGTAAAAATGCAGAGACAACCACATCCATTTGGACACCTGCCTCTTAATGTCCTGAGACATCCTTCTCATTGCAATGAAAAGCATTCCAGGAATGGGAGGCAGCTCCCTATTTTGACTAAATTCTAAAATATCATTAAATGATTATATTTAATTCCCACTGTGAGCCTAACTAAGCAGGTACTGTCATCATCCCCAATTTAAATACAGGAAAACGGAGGCTCTTCGAGGCTGAGTGTTTTGTCTAAGCTTGCATAGCTTCTAAGAGGTGAAACAGAGATATGAACCCAGGCAGCCCAACTCCAGAGCCTGACAGGGTCTGGGGAAGAGCTGGCTCCAACACAGGGTGACAGCTTCCCATTCTCCCCCCTACCTTTTTAAGTTTCATCTGAAAATGTCATGCAGGGTCACCCTTACTGCACAGAGGAGATGAAGAAACAAATAAATATGGGGGAAGAGGAAATGGAAAATAGAACTCCCACTAGGGTCTGGCTATTAATGTGTTTGCACTGTTCCTACACTTGAATAGATCTGGTTCTGAGTCTGCTACTTAAAAGGAACCAAAAATGACCTTGAATTGAAACTCCTGCATAGGAAGGTGCCGTGATGAGCTCAGAGAGACCACAGCACACCTCTGCAAGGGCTCTGAGCACCATCGTCATGGTTGCTTCCAGTCGGCAAGGTGGGCGGGAGAGGGGCAGTGGCGGGGCGGGGGGGCGGGTGGTGGATGCTGGTTAGGTGGTTTCAGTTCTGATGAACTGCCTGACTGCCAACACCAAGCCTGGGTTTTCCTCTCTACGGGATGGAGATGATGGGAGGGGAGGTGGCCTTTCCAAAGGGAAGACTCTTCCATCAGCGGCTTCTTAAGATGGTTTGCCTTTGTGGAGGCAAAGCCCTAGTTAACGTAAACATGGTGAGATGGGGGGCCCTCTAAAGCAAATACCAGTATCAGCCAAGTTCTCCCCTCTTCGATCTCATCTCCTGTTGTTCTTCCTGTTTTCTCTGTTCGGCCACCTTTTGCTGTTCCTGGAACACACCAGGCACACTCCTGCCTCAGAGCCTTTGCACATGCTCTTTATTCTGCCCAGAAGCTTTCCCCCTAGCTACCCCTATGGCCTGCTTCCTTTCCTCTCTCAGGCCTTTTCTCAAACATCCTATTTTCAGTGAGACCTTCCCTAGTTACCTGTTATAACCACAGTTGCATTCTGAACTCCACCCACTGCCCAACACACAGGCCTGCTCCCTCTCCCCTTCCCATTGTGTATCTCCTCTAGCTGAAGCTTAGCTCCGTGAGAGCAAGGATTTATGTCTGCTTGATTCCTGTCTATATTCCAGCATCCAGGCTAGTGTGCAGCCAGTACTCAATGAAAAACATGTTGAATAGATTAATGAGTAAATCAGTGAATCCTGGCTTTGCCATTTAGTAACTAGGCAACCTTTAGCAAATTAGTTAATTTGTGTTCTATACCTCATTTCTACTACAGTAAAATTGGGATGATAATTCCTACCCTCCTACTGTGAGTTTTAAACAAGATTACAGAAGTACACACCAAGGACAATATTTGCATGCACTCAGTGATTTAGTTTGTGAGTTCGATGAAAGTAATACACATAATAGTAGTAAACATTTTTAGATTATTTATAGGAAATAACCTACCAGGCACTGCTTTAGCCACTTTATGTACCTTTATTCATTTAATTCGTACATCCTGTAAGGTATGTACTATTATTTCATCATCCTTGTCTGAGAAATAAAGAAACTGCAGGACTAACTTGCCCAAGGCCATATGACTAGAAAAAAATCACTGAGCCTGGGTTTGAACTCAGGGCTATCTGTTTCCAAAGTCCATCACTTAACCACTTCCCCACACTGCTTCCCCCAGGCAAGAACACATAATTTATATAATACAGGTATAGAAAAACAGATTCAAGTAGTGAAAACTTCTATCTACAAATAGTTTATTTTTTAAACTGGTGGAATGTCTTCACAGATCAAACGTGATAATAATTCACTTTCTAAATCAACTGGAATATTTAGATAGTGGCCAAATTATATTTAACCCCAAGCCATGAAATACCTTTGGCCAAGAAATGCTACCATTGAGGAGATATTTGGAAACTGTGTTTTATTTAGACACAGTCTATATGAACCAATACATTTCCATTTTAAAATAGAGAGCAGTGTCATTTAGTTTCCAAAGTTCAGTGGAAACAAAAACCAGGGCCATGTAGACACACCCTAAACAAGCACCTGCTTTTGAGGCCGCCTCTAACATTATTATCCTGTTTTTCTCGTGAATTGGCTTCAATCACTTGTGATTCCTGTGCATTTAGCATATCTCATAACCAGCCGTCATTCATAGTCTATTTTAAGTTTGCTTGTTAAAATACTTGGTTTCACTCATGAGAGAGAGCTCAGTGAGACTATGTCTTCTCCATTCATGGTGCTGGTTCTACAAGTCACTGCATACCCAACAGGGAGGCATACACACACAAACTTTCCAAATCGTCTTTAAAGGCTTTCAGTTCCTTTTTTTCTTTTTTTGGTTTCTGTTGCCTTCCCAGTAATGGCTAAGACGTTGTCAGTTTGTCTTTCTTCTTGTAATTTCTCTAGAAGGCCTTGTGGCCCAGGCATTCAGTTGGGACCCAGTTTCAATCTCCCATTGGTTTTAGTCTGGCTCTCTTACTTGCAAGGAACAGAAAGTCATTTAAGCTAGCTCAAGACAAAGGGCTTTTAGCATATTGTATTATGTCACTTTATTTTTAAATGGTAAAAGAATGTTTGTGGAAATCCAAGAATGGGAGCCATATTAAATCTTGGCCTCAAAGAGCCCAGAACTCAAAGGTGACTCTAGATTCAAGAAGCCTCCCGGCCCTTCAGCAGCAGGAGTTCATGGATCTTTGACTTCTATGATTGAAGTGACATGCTATATGTCTACTTCATCTCGTCCTAGTGCTAACTGATGGCTATTTTTCTTCATGCTCAGGGCCCTAAGACAGAATCTGATTGGTCCAGTCCTTCTTCCAGGGCAGACTGTAACTCCCTGACCAGCCTATGGATTGTGTACCGTTGGTTCAGGGGCCTGGGCCACAGCCAATCATTTATGGACAGAGGATGTGGGGCTCCGAGTACTAAACATGGCTTCCTGGGCCTGCCCCTGTGGCAGGAAGTGTTGGCAGGGTGGATCCCCTCAGAAGAGGCTGTGGGTGGGTTGGCACAGTGCTGACCTTTCCAGAATACTATCTTGTAAGAGACTAATGTGTTACCCAAATCACACAATCGTATACCAAGATAAAATGATATTATATTGACAAAGACAAAGATGCAACTTGGAAAGACATCTGCAAAACCACATGCATACATCTTTGCAATTAGCGTGCTTAAAACATGAAACAAATTTCATTATTTCTTTGTGATATGTTTTATCTAAAAATGTTTATTCTTTTGCCTGATAAGTCAAGCTGTTAAAGCCCTATGGCTTTCTTAGGACCTCCAAGTTTTGGTGAACAGATTACAGTCAGCACAATTCTAGCTGATGCCATTAATAGAGATTTCAGTGTGTTAACCAAACTGAAGCTGCATTAACCTTTGCAGTCGCCCAGCCAGTTATTCAGGTTTTGTTTTAATTGAGCTGGTCAGACCCATTGATTGGTTATTACCATTGACTAAGTATACACAATACCATGGGCCACAGCTTTAAACACAGGCAGAATGTGTTTGTGACTTCAGAGGTCCCTTGTGTCAAACGTGTGATGCCCGTGGTGCTGGTGAACTCTCCTCTAAGGATTGGCCCACTGCCACCCATGGACCCTGAAGAGCAAGGGAGATACAACGGGGACATTTCCATCAGGGTGATGATGTGAAGGAGTGTGGGTGAAGATCCAGGTCTGGATGCATTGCTGCAGTGGCTGGGAGAGTTATGGTGGTGGTGGTGGGGGCTGCTGGTATAAAAGTATAAGGCATGACAAACTTGGCCTGCATTACAATTCTAGAGGAAAACCACCTGGGCAAAGACCAAATCCTTATGCATCTGTCTTAAGATGAGATGAGTCACTACCCATGGCACGCGTTGGTGACCTGCATGTGTGTGAACTGTGCTCTCTTTTCTTGAGTCCCCAGCAGAAACCAGTCTCTCCTGACACTAGAAGTCCATAGCACTCTAGCTGTGTATCTCTGTGGTTTACATCACTTTCTACCTATATTAACAATCTGTCTCATTTTTCCCCACCCTCTGATGGAAATTTGTATTAAGATGAGATCAGTGTCTGATTTCTGCCTGGTGTTCCTGCCATTTAACAAATATTTGTTGGATGAATGAGAGTAAGAACCTAAATTGCCTTTTCAGTCACCAGATTGACTGTGGCCATGTTGCTTCATTGTTCTCTCTGCACAGTGACAGTATTTGACCCAGGAGGAATGTCTGAGATGGTATCATTGCCGAGTGAAGCTAATTTCAGTGTCAAGTTTATTTAAAATTTTCAAATATTTCTAATGTAGGCACTGTGAAGCACCATCAGTGTATCCCATAGTATATGAAAGGGTCCACAGGTACAGTTGATTACCAGCAGGAGGATGGAATTCCAGGGACAGATCAGAAAATCTTGAGTATATGGAGAGAAGGAAGTGGAGGAGGAGGAAGGGAGGGTAGTAGCTGACGTTTACTGACAATTTGCCATGTGCCAGGCCCTGTTATAAACATTTTACATAATTAAGTCATTTAAAACCCACAACAGCCATATGGGGAAGTTACCATTATCCTGTTTTACAGGGGAGTCTGGTGCAAAACAGAGCAGGTTGTCCTGTGGTCCGTGCAGTCTGACTTGTTGGACTCCGGAACCCCCTTTTCCTTCTCCTTTTTCCTTCCCATTCTGTTTATACCTCATAAATTCAAAACATTCTTGATAAATGTTAAATATTGCTAAATATTAGATATTAAAATATGGTTTAATTAAGAGTAATTTATTCACTCATTAATTTATTAACAAAATTTCATGAACCATTATTATGTGACAGACACTTTTTCAACAGTAAGTATCAGGAAGCCTTGAATGGTCAAAAACGAGGTGATGATCATTCCTGATTTCATCCTTGAGGGGCCATGCTGGTTGTTTTCTGCTCTCACGGAAGTAAGCCTAGGTCTTTGATAGGCCTCAAAATAGAGTGTCAGGAAGATAGACAAGTCCGTTTTTTGCTGATATTAATACTTCTCGGAGCATAACGTTGGGGCAATGTTTTTCAAAATAAAACAAAACTTTCCTTCACTGGTGTGAGGATGGAGAGAGATGAAATGAAGGTGGGAGTCAGACAGCCCTGTCCTACCACAGCTGCATGTGCAGCTCCTCCAACAATCACTGTGTCTGCTTGGGCAGGTCTATTTTTCCAGTCACACCCGATGAACCTACTCTGACTTTCAAAGATACTACTCCAAAACCTCCAATGTTATTTGGATAAACAATTCCCACTCCCTGGAAGGGTCCCTTTATTCGTCATTTGTTTTTACTGTTGACACTTTTGGGTTGGTGATAGAGAAGACTTTCTGGCTAGAAGCTTGAGGCTGTGTCTAAGACAAGGAAGCTAAGTCAAATGGCAGAAAGTTTCGATTTGGTCCTACCAGCCAAAAAAAAAATTCACCTTTCCAGGAATTTAAGTGTCCTGTGTACACACTGCCCAAAGAAGAGCAGGGATTACATAATTCTTCCAATATTATACTTAGGCAAAGTGGAGAAGTAGCATCCAGAATTCTGGTTTGGCAGCACAAGTACTTCACAATAATGCAACACTATTCACATGCCTAGAACAGCCAGGCATATACTGGCATTCAGTAAATATTTGTGGAATAAATGAGTGAATAGAAAAAAATCTAGAAAGGTATCAATTGTAAATGTTGAAAGTAATTTTCATCTCTTTAAATAGCTTCAAATTCTGGTTTTTCTATTATAAGTATGTGTTATTTGTATAATAATAGTTCTTTAAAAATGTAGCCTAGAGGGGTGGGATAGGGAGGGTGGGAGGGAGACGCAAGAGGGAGGAGATATGGGGATATATGTAATATATGTATATAGCTGATAGCTGATTCACTTTGTTATAAAGCAGAAACTAACACATTGTAAAGCAATTATACTCCAGTAAAGATGTTAAAAAAAAATGTAGCCTCAGTTTTCCAGGAAATTACTGATTTTAAGCTGTAGTGAGGGCAAAGATAGGCCTGGATTTTTCTGGCTTTATTATTGCCGAGCTCAGCTTTATTGTGAGTAGTATAGCTACAACACTTGTGGATAAGTTCCTGGAAGACTGGCTCTTTTCAGAATCTGGATCAAGTTAACACTTTCTAACCAGTGGGGAAGTAACTACTTTGTTCTCTAAGCAGAGGGCTTAAAATCACAGAATGTTGGAGGTTGTCTTGCCCAGTTTTCTTAGTTTTCAGGTGAAGAAACTGAATGTAGACCAGTGGTTGCTTAGCCTTGAGCAAGCCACTGGTGAAACTGGTAGTAGGACTCACCTCTTCCAACTGTAAGCACATTTCCCCATTTCACTCTATCAGTCAGAAATCCAGCAAGGAACTGATGGCATATCTAACTGGGTAATTGAGGAAAATTTAATAAAGGATAAAGGGATTATTTAAAAGGTGTGGGCAGAGTTAAGATGACCGGCAAAGGAAGCGAAGCATTCCAGGTCATGCAAAATGGAGAGCTGTTACATTCCTAGGCCTGAGGGAGGCAAGAGTGGGAGCAGTTATAGAACCTGGAGAGATTAGGGGTATTGAGAAGGTGCCCAATATACTGGGGCCTCCAGTAGAGGGACACAGTGCATCTGCAGCAACCTGAGGGCCTGAGAGCTGTGTGACAAATAGCCCAGCCTTATTCTTTTCCCAGCTAGAAGCCAAAGGTCAAGCAAGCTTGTTGACTCAGTTAAAAAAGGTCGACATCCCAGGGCATAGAGCGGTGAGGAAAGATGGAGGGTGGATTCCAGGGGCCTGTGGAAAATATCTGTCACATTTGAGCTATGGAAGATAAACTGCATCCTATCTGCTCTCACTTCAGCTTCAAATTGTTAATAACCTGGACAATTGAGGTTACATTTTTAAAACTATTATTATACATATTTTACATATTTATAATACATAATACATATTTATAATAGAAAAACCAGAACAATACAGCTATTTAAAGAGATTGTAATTACTTTCAACTCTTTTTTGTTTAATTGGGGTATAGTTGCTTTACAGTGTTGTGCTAGCTCCTGCTGCACAGTGAAGTGAACCAGCCATATGCATACGCATATCCCCTCCTTTTTGGATTTCCTTCCCATTTAGGTCACCACAGAGCACCGAACAGAGTTGCCCGTGCTATATGGCAGGTCCTCATTAGTTATCTATTTTATACATAGTGATGTATATATGTCAATCCCAATCTCCCAATTCATCCCACCCCTCCTTTCCCCACTCTGGTGTCCACTCATTTGTTCTCTACGTCTGTGTCTCTATTTCTGCTTTGCAAATAGGTTCATCTGTACCATTTTTCTAGATTCCACATATATGCATTAATATACAATATTTGTTTTTCTCTTTCTGGCTTACTTCACTCTGTATGACAGTCTCTAGGTCCATCCACATCTTTACAAATGACCCAATTTCATTCCTTTTTATGTCTGAGTAATATTCCATTGTATATATGTACCACATCTTCTTTATCCATTCATCTGTCGATGGACATTTAGGTTGCTTCCATGTCCTGGCTATTGTAAATAGTGCTGCAATGAACATTGGGGTGCATGTGTCTTTTTGAATTATGGTTTTCTCAGGGTATATGCCCAGTAGTAGGATTGCTGGGTCATATGGTAGCTATATTTTTAGTTTTTTAAGGAACCTCCATGCTGTTCTCCATAGTGGCTGTATCAATTTACCTTCCCACCAACAGTGTAAGAGGATTTCCTTTTCTACACACCCTCTCTAGCATTTATTGTTTGTAGATTTTTTTGATGATGGCCATTCTGACTGGTGTGAGGTGATACCTCATTGTAGTTCTGATTTGCATTTCTCTAATAATTAGTGATGTTGAGTATCTTTTCATGTGCATCTTGGCCATCTGTATGTCTTCTTTGGAAAAATGTTTATTTAGATCTTCTGCCCATTTTTTGATTGGGTTTTTTTTTTTTGATATTGAGCTGCATGAGCTGCTTGTATATTTTGGAGATTAATCCCTTGTCAGTTTCTTCGTTTGCAAGTATTTTCTCCATTCTGAGGGTTGTCTTTTTGTCTTGTTTATGTTTTCCTTTGCTGTGCAAAAGCTTTTAAGTTTCATTAGGTCCCATTTGTTTATTTTTGTTTTTATTTTCATTACTCTAGGTGGTGGGTCAAAAAAGGTCTTGCTGTGATTTGTGTCAAAGCGTGTTCTTCCTATGTTTTCTTCCAAGAGTTTTATAGTGTCTGGTCTTACATTTAGGCTTTAATCCATTTTGAGTTTATTTTTGTGTATGGTGTTAGGGTGTGTTCTAATTTTGTTCTTTTACATGTAGCTGTCCAGTTTTCCCAGCACCACTTATTAAAGAGACTGTCTTCTCCATTGTATATTCTTGCCTCCTTTGTCATAGATTAGGTGACCATAGGTGCATGGATTTATCTCTGGACTTTCTATCTTATTCCATTGATCAATATTTCTGCTTTTGTGCCAGTACCATACTGTCTTGATTACTATAGCTTGGTAGTATAGTCTGAAGTCAGGGAGCCTGATTCCTTCAGCTCCATTTTTCTTTCTCAAGATTGCTTTGGCTATTCAGGGTCTTTTGTGCTTCCATACAAATTGCAAAATTTTTGTTCTAATTCTGTGGAAAATGCCATTGGTGATTTGATAGGGATTGCATTGAATCTGTAGATTGCTTTGGGTAGTATAGTCATTTTCACAATATTGATTCTTCCAATCCAAGAACATGGTATATCTCTCCATCTATTTGTGTCATCTTTGATTTCTTTCATCAGTATCGTATAGTTTTCTAAGTACAGGTCTTATCCCTCCTTAGGTAAGTTTATTCCTAGGTTCTTTATTCTTTTTGTTGCAATGGTAAATGGGATTGTTTCTGTAATTTCTATTTCTGATCTTTCGTTGTTAGTGTATAGGAATGCAAGAGACTTCTGTGCATTAATTTTGTATCCTGCTACTTTACCAAATTCGTTGATTAGCTCTAGTAGTTTTCTGGTGGCATCTTTAGGATTTTCTATGTATAGTGTCATGTCATTTGCAAACAGTGACAGTTTTCCTTCTTCTCCAATTTGTATTCCTTTTATTTCTTTTTCTTCTCTGATTGCCATGGCTAGGACTTCCAAAACTATGTTGAATAATAGTGGCGAGAGTGGACGTCCTTGTCTTGTTCCTGATCTTAGAGAAAATGCTTTCAGTTTTTCACCATCAAGAATGATGTTTGCTATGGGTTTGTCATATATGGCCTTTATTATGTTGAGCTAGGTTCCCTCTATGCCCACTTTCTGGAGAGTTTTTATCATAAATGGGTGTTGAATTTTGTCAAAATTATGATTGGTACTTTTCTAGACTTTTTATTCAACCATTCACCTATCCATTTATTCATGTCACAAATATTTATTGAATGTCAATGTGTGCCTCCCTGTTCTAGGCATGTGTATATTGGAATAAACAAAATAGACAAAAATTCCTTCACTCAAGGAGCTAACACTCTACTGGGGAAGAGTCCCAATAAACAACATAAATAACCAAAATGACAATATGTGACGTAGTGATTAAGTGGTAAGAAGAAAAATAAAGCAAGGGAAGAAATAAGAGTGTTATGGGGGAGGTTTTATAATTTTAAATAAGGTGGCCAGGGATCCTTGTGGGGGGTGTGTGTGTGTGTGTGTGTGTGTGTGTGTGTGAGCGAGCAAGCCAGCAATGACTGCCTGTTTGTAGGGCTTTTCCTCTGGCTAATTGCTGAGTGTTCAGATAATGGAGAGTGTAGGTGGTATAACTTCCCCCCTCCCTCGCAGTTTCAAAATGTCTCTCTTTAGATTTTTTTAAAGGGCAAAGCTTTCTCCACTCCTTATATTAACCATTAAAAAAGTGCTGTGGGGAATCCTCAGTGCAAGTGTATTAGCCAAATTCTTGGTGTCTGACCCTTTCTAGCTGGGTGACTCGGGGGAAGTCATTTAACCTCTCTGAGCCTCGGGTTCCACATGTGGGAAAATGAGGGTTTTGGTGACAAGGAAGGAAATAAGATTAGATCTGAGAGGGACCTCATGCCCAGCACACAGTTGATGGTCAATATATGGTGATTTCTTTCCTTCTCTGGACAGAGCTGCCGAAAAGGCATGTTTTGGTAAAACTGAAGACTTGGGATCCACAGAATTGAGGAGTTTGCCAAACAATCTATTAATAATAGTAGCTGGCATTAATTGACCACCTTTGTGCCAGGCAGAACTTTTACATGTGTGTCTCATTAAATCCTTGCAATTTAAGATGAGGCAATGGAGGCATAGACCCTCTTGCACAGCTGGTAGGTCACAGAAGCAAGGCTTGACTCCAAGTCTGGCTGACATCAACCTGTGCTCTCTTTACCAGATGCTGTGCTCTTCCTCTCCCCTGCCTTGCCCCCATGAGGAAGAGTCAAGGCTGGATGGAGCGAGTGTAGGGAAGGATTTTCTCATAATCTGAAAGCCCATGAAGATCTCTAGACTACCAGGTAAGGACCATTTATGACCCTGGAAAAACGTCTTTACTAAATACCATTAATTTAGTGGTTCTGAAAGTGGGGAGCTGGGCTGATTGCCTGTGAATCGCCTTTTTTTTTTTTTTTTTTAAATACATATGCTAGGACTTTATCTCTCGAAATTCTAGTTAGGTAGGTCTGGGGTAAGGCCTTGAGTGTCCATATTTTTCAACATCGTCCCAGGTGTTTCTGATTTGCAGCCAGATTTGGACACCTCCCTATGGCCCAAACTAATAACGCACCTTGTGACTCTTCTGTTCCATTTGCTTGGTTGCCACCAGGATCATGAATTGTAACTTTTCCCAATGGTAGCGTGCGTGCTGGGTAATCTAATCCAGGCTTCATCTGAATCTTTGATGAAAGTTTTGGGACAGTATTGCCTTGAAGCATCTAAATGGAGAGACTCCCTCCTGGCCAGCCCATCAGTCAGTGTTCTTTGGCCATTGAAAGAACAGTCCATCAGCTGTTCTACCCTCCAGACCACAGCTTCCACAAGGACATTATGAGAGACCTTGTCAAATGCTTTGCTGAAATCAAGGTACACAATGTCTTTGCTGCTTCTTTCACTAAATGCTCTAGAAGGCCCAACAAAAACAAAATGCAGTTGGTTGACATAACTGTTTATCAATGAATCCATACTAGCTGCCAGTATCAGCAACTTCTTTTCCAAGGGCTCAGAAGTCTTCTTTGAGAAACAGAAGAACCTACTCTCTTCTTTGTAGGTTTCCACAAATGTGAGCTGGAAAATGGTGCTCACATCAGTCAACTGTAAAACCAATTTGGGCCTCAAATGGCATCACTTAGGTCTTG